TATATATATATATATATATATATATATATATATATATATATATATATATATATATATTATTTTAAATAATTATTTATTTATTTATTGTATTTATTTTATTTGAAAGTAAAAAAATAACTAAAAAGCATGAATTATCTTAAATATTCAATCATTATATTAATTGATAATTTTTTTTAACTTTTATAATACATTTTAATTTAAAATTATACATTCAGCAAAAAGCATGAACTTCTTACATCTCAAATAGTCAAATATCATACTAATTAGTAATCATTTATTTGTTTGTTTGTTTGTTTTTATTCAATTCAACTATAATAACTATAATTTCGAAATTTACAATGACCAAAATCATGAATAATCTGAAATATTAAATTAATATATTAAATAATTATTTAATATTTATATTTGTATTTATTTATTTACATACAAAACCTATTACAAACGCTAATTTCATAGTAGACGGTGACCAGAAAGCATGAATAATCTTAAATATTCATTTACTTTATCAATTAATAATTATGTATATTATATTTATTTATAGTGATTTATTTGATTTTATATCATAAGAATATTATATTATTTTAATATTATATGATGTTTTTTTAAAGGTTAACTTATTTGAAACACTAATCTTATTTATATTCACCTCAATTACATTATTGAATTCAGCTATTTATTAATTCATTGTTTGTTTGCGTCAGTGTTTGCCGACGTCTGTTCTGTTTCCACATCTGCTCTTAAGGTTGTTCACACTTGTTTTTAAATGTTAACATGACAGACTTGTCAAAGCTGTCCAAAACAGTAGTATGATAAATCATATCAATGCTAACAACTCTTTTATGCTGTATGAATGCATATTAATTGGTAAATAGTGTAAAAAGATAATGAATTAGCAGTAGCGTGTGTGCATTTTATTCTCCGTTTCATATTTCTTCACATTTTCCAGGCCAGCCTCTCAGTCATTGATGATGAAACAGAATCATTCACCTTCCTCAGCTCGTGTGTGTGTTTAAGCGTGTGGTTGTGGGAGCGAAGCGCTTCAGATATATTTGTAATTCTTTTAATACTCTTCCAGCCGCCTGCGGTCACGCGTCTCCCACCAGCCGCTCTGAGAAGAAAACATAAATCGTCCATCTAAAGGCCAGTCGCCTCCTGCTAGTGTTGACATGTTGCTCCTCGGAGAGAAGCTTTGCCTTTTGTGAAATAGAAAACGTCTCGCAATCTCCTCTCCCTCCTCAAAGTGCCACTTTTGTATGCGTGTGGAGTCGTGCATGCGAGCGCTGCTGGTTTATTTCACCGTGTCTGGAATCAGTGGCGCTGTGAAAACACCCGCTGCAATTTGTCACCTTATCGCTCAAAGCAGATTTGAAAACGGCCCTGGGCATATTTCACCTCCAGTTCACATTCCACTAATTGAGCATCGGAAATGTGTGTGAGCAGGCAGCCGGTGTGTGTGTGTGTGTGTGTGTGTGTGTGTGTGTGTGTGTGGTGTGTATGCGTTGTTTTCTGATGTAGCAAAACTGTCTCAATACGTATTCCATTTGTGATTTTGGTTTTGTTATTGTTTGTGGTTTGAATATGCTGTTACTCTTCATTTGAGCTTCTTTTATTACCTGGTGTGTTATATTTTGCTGGTTTCAAAAACTTCTTCACATGAAACTAATGGATTCTTTTATCTTCTGAAATATGGACGTCATTTTTTCATGCTTTTTTTTCAGAATTATTTATTCTAAATACTATTTTTGTTTCTTGTTTCATCCTAATNTCTAATCTACACTCACTCAATTAATTAATTAATTAATTTATTTATTTATTTATAAACTTCTAAACTTTAAGCTTTTTACTTTCAAAAATCATTAATTATCTTAAATATTTAATTGTTTTA